ATACTCTTAAGATGTTCCTAATCCAAGTGGAGTAGGTTTAAAATTTTGGAGCAACCCAGAGAAGATCTGGAACAATTAAAATATTTGTTCAAATTGCATAAAATTTTCAGAATATATATATTTTTTTGATGTTCTATTGATGTTTTACTTAGTAAAATTTTGACTTTTATATGTAGAAACGATTTACGATTTCTCTATGATTTTTGCAAAAAAACAAAAAGGTACGTACGTAGCTTATTTTCGGGAATATACAGTATTAATGAATCAATAACTTTCTAGAAAGGATGTTTGTATGATAATTTTACAATAGATAAATATTTGACTTGCGTCCATTAATATGATCTACAATATTTTAAGCAAGTACAGTTGCCTCCAAAAGTTTGTCACGGTTACACGAAACATAGTCAAATATCGATATCCAAATCAACGATATAATATATTGACGCAAAGTTTGCAACGGTTACACAAAACATAATGATGTCCAAATCAACGATATAATAATATCCAAATCAACAATATTAATTAATATTCAAACTTGACGCAAAGTAAGTTTGCAACGGTTACACAAAACATAATGATGTCCAAATCAACGATATAATACAGGTTTTGGCTACCTATTTTGGACATCTCACCAATCAAATTTGAACATTTAACTAATCAAATTTGAACATAACAGCAATCAAATTTGAACAATCAAATTTGGATATAACAGCAATCAAATTTGGACATTCAATCGTTCAAATTTGAATATTTTAGCATTCAAATTTAAACATCTTAGCAATCAAGTTTAAATAATAATATCTTGTAATCTAATAGCTCAAATTATATAATTTTGGCACTATTTAATTTGTATTATTATAATAAATTAAATGGTATTAAAATTACATAATTTGGACTTTTGGATTACAAAATATTATTATTTGAATTTAATTGCTAAGATGTTCAAATTTGATTGCTAAATTGTTCAAATTTGATTGATTGAATATTCAAATTTGATTGCTTCTATGTCCAAATTTGATTGATTAAATGTTCAAATTTGATTGCTTTTATGTCCAAATTTGATTGGTTAAATGTTCAAATTTGATTGCTGTTATGTTTAAATTTGATTGTTAATTTGTCTGAAATTGGTGGCCAAAACCTGTAATATCCAAATCAACGATATAATAGATTGACGCAAAGTAAGTTTGCAACGGTTACACAAAACATAATGATGTCCAAATCAACGATATAATCAACAATATTAATTAATATTCAAACTTGACTAATTAATACAGTAATATTCAAACTTGACGCAAAGTAAGTTTGCAACGGTTACACAAAACATAATGATGTCCAAATCAACGATATAATAATATCCAATATTGATTAATATTCAAACTTGACGCAAAGTAAGTTTGCCGCCACGGTTATCTCCTCAGCCCTCAACGATAAAATCCAAAAATAGAAATAAACTAAAGTTTAAATTACTGCTCAAAATCATTAATTATGTATAGCTTGTATATAAGAACCTGTTTTGTTGTGATACATGGATCGGGTATAGAAAGCTTAATGGTACGCGTCTATAGTGATTAATTTAAGCAGTCATAATCACAATTTAGATTTGCCGCTTTTTTAAAAAAAAAAGAATGTAAAATCAACATTCTTGAAAAGTAATTACCAAAGTTAGCCATTATTGAATTAGGGATAGACTCTACGAACCAAGTATTTAACAAGTCTTTTGGACCGTATCTTACTTAAAAAATAATTTAACAAGCCCTTCATACTGTAATATACTTAAAAAATTCTTTATATATATTATCTTAAAAATTTCAATTGCCTTTAATAATGGAGGAAACAGGACGTTGTAAATCCCAAAAAATTAGACTTCAATACCTTCCTAAAAATCAATATGACACAATTAATAATAAACCTCAGATTAAGCGAAGGCTTAATTCTAAACAGAAATATGGGAATATAATTAAATTTGATAAAAAGGGTAAACAAAAAGAACAAGGTTCAATGGACCTACCCCATCGACCTTTGAATGGAAACATAATAGATTCGCCAAGCTCACCAATTGGAGAAGAAATTTCCGAGACGAATGATATCAACGAATATCCTGCTCCACTCCACGATGATCTTTATCGTTATGCGTATTTTGGTATTCATTATTTATTTATTAATCATGGATTTTTATTTTCACATATATATTATTAACGTCATCATATTCATAATTATTTACGATATTGCAATAATAGTGTTATGAAAACTTAAAATGTTTACCGCACCTCTACATGTAACTCTTGATATAAGAAAGTTGCTGGGTCCAGCCAAAATTTTTCTTATATCGAAGGCTTTTTATTATAAAATTTTCCATTGGGATTTAAAAAATCTTTCTTATACCAAGAGTTTCTTATATCGAAGGTTCCTTATATCGAGAGTCACTTGTATATGTAGTTAAATTCCGGCCACATAAAATTGATAGTGTCCTCTAGAATGTATTTTTTATAAATTATTAACGAACTAGAATTAGATCAATAATATTGTGTAAAATTGTGTAAAATTAATGTCGTTATTAGTGTATTATTGATTTTATTGTAAAAATATTTTCTTTTCGAAAAAAGAATAAGTGGCAACTCAAAAGTTTAGTGCGTAAATGTAAACGTTATATTATATTTTATACATAAATATATATTATTTATTATTTTTGTGTTTATTATTATTCTATGTATATTTTTTTTTTTATAAATCTCAGAGCAAAGAAAAGGCAAGAAAAATCTGTTGTTTTATATATTTTTTTGTTCGTTTTAATAATACGGAAATTTATCTCCGGATTTTCTTGGAATTCCATACTCCTTTAAGTTTTTACTTCTTTGGTTAAAAAAAAAAAAGGAAGTAATATGATTTTATAAATTTGTACTATGAGAAACAAAAGGTTATGGAAAATTATTGACTTTGACAAATTTCATAATTGATACACAAATTTCCCGAACGTTTTATAAGACATCCCAACTCATGATTGTGCTTTGAATTCTTATAAATTTGAGCTTTTAATTCTGTAAGTTACTCGTACATTGTGAAGGTAGGCGGCAATATATGTCTATTAATTTTAGCATTGACACGGGATGAGCTTGCTCCAAATAACAACAAAATAAAATTATTGTTATATTCAACACTAATACTTTAATATTTATCTTATTTTAGACTTTTTGACAGATGCGTAACTATGGTGATTCTGCAAAATATGTAATTTCAATAAAAAACCGTGCTTATTAATTTGATCTGGATTTGCGGGTTGATCTAATCTTCAACTCATTCTATTAAATTGTTCCAGATCTTCTCTGGGTTGCTCCAAAATTTTAAACCTACTCCACTTGGATTAGGAACATCTTAAGAGTAT